TGCCTGCGACAACCGTGGCTGCGACAGCCGTGGCTACGACGACCGTGGCTACGACCATACTTACAACCAAGGTCACAGCGAAGGTTACGGCCACAGGGAGGAAGAGGAAGACGACAGAGGAAGAAGTGCCGGGTATCAGTACTTGGAACCCGACGAACCTCGGGCCGTCGCGGACGAGTCCCTCTTCAGGTGGCTGGCCGTGTCCTACGCGTCCACACACATGTCCATGACGCGCAACTACCACGGCTCCTGCCACGGAGACATTTCGGGCGCGGGGCACGGCATCGTCAACCGCGCCAAGTGGAAGCCAGTGACAGGCAGTGAGTGAAGGAAATGTTGAATCAGTTGCATTGGTTAACACCACACCGTGGTGGACAATGCGTGTACTGCACCTCCTGAGCCCACGTGAGTGCCTCGTGTTTCCCCAGGTATGAACGACTTCAGCTACCTGCACACCAACTGTTTGGAACTCTCCGTATTCCTGGGCTGCGACAAGTTCCCTCATGAGAGCGAGTTGGCGCAGGAGTGGGAGAGGAACCGGGAGGCCATGCTCATCTTCATGGAGCAGGTCAGTTACACACACACACACACACACACACACATATATACTCACAGGTCACGTGACGGTATCGATTTAACGAACTGTACTAGAGTTCCGAGACAGACCGTCCGACGTCAAAGGTGTCGGATTTGCATCTGTTAGTCAGACCAACTCAAGGTTCCACCTGCTTTGCCTAGGTGCACCGTGGCATCAGGGGCATCGTGAAGGACCAGCAGGGGAACCCCATCGCAAATGCCACAGTGTCGGTCGAAGGGGTAAATCACGACGTCACCACAGGTGAAAGACTGACATTCGTCTTCTTCCCGAAATCTGATCAGGTTGACGTTGTTGCTTTTATTTTGAAAACCAAATATGTGTCTCCTCCTCCTCACGCTGCAGCTTCAACCGGGGACTTCTGGAGGCTGTTGAACCCAGGGGAGTACCGAGTGACGGCTCGAGCTGAGGGCTTCTCCCCCGTGACCAAAGTCTGCGTGGTGGGGTACCAGTCTGGAGCCACCACCTGCAGCTTTAACCTGGCCAAGTCCAACTGGGACCGCATTAAACAGGTGACACGCAGTCGGCCTGAGCGGAACGTGCCGCGACAAATAAATGTTGGAACTAAAAAGTTGGCTTTGACAACGGCCCTAGTCACTGAGAAAGTTAGAGTCACAGTCTATATATATATATATATATATATATATATATATATATATATATATATATATATATATATATATATATATATATATATATATATATATATATATATATATATATATATATATATATATATATATATATATATATATATATATATATATATATATATATATATATATATATATATATATATATATATTTATACATACACACACACACAGATGTACATACATATATGTATATACGTATATGTACATATATATACACAGATATATACATATATACACATATACATATATTTACACATATATACACGCATATAGATATACACATATATATATACACATAGATATACACATATATATACACATATAGATATACACATACACACATATATAGATATACCCATATATACACGTATATACATATACACATATATACATACATATATACATATATGCGCATATACACACACACATATACACATATATTATAGTAGTATAAATAAAGCTACTTTCCAAAACTGCACCGTTTAAAACTCAAACTTTTTTTTATTTCCTCCAGATCATGGCTCTCCATGGCAACAAACCCATCCGACTCAGCTACAGCAACAACAGAGTTCACTATCCCGCAGCCCGAGACGGCAACAGACGCATGGTCACCAACAGCGTCCCTTCGCCGAACTCCCACCTCAGCCCCGAGCGGCGGAGGAGGCTCAGGATAGCACGTATCCGTCGCCTCCGACAGCAGCGACTGATGAGGTTAAGATCGACTACGATGTTACCCCCGACGACCGCCACCCCCACCCCGACAATCACAACTCCACTTCCCACAACGCCAGAGACCACCACGTCCTGGTACGACCCATGGCCTGTACTGGAGGGAGAGTCCTCGACACCGGGCGGCTACACGGATTCCTTCCTGGACTATAACTACGAGTTTAAGATCGATGACTATTAAACCAACACACACATCCCCCCCTGCCCCCCACCTGTCTGTCTCGTCGAACTGTAAACAGGCGGTTGAAGATCCAACAGAGGAGTCTGATCTTTGTACGACACACGGACAACGACGACGTAAATATTAACCGTATTACCTGTAGCGCGAAAACACGGCCGTCACTTAACACTGAAATGAAAGCCTCGGCGTCGAACGCGTGTTAAGTAACGGTGACGTTTTTTCCCACGCTTTCACACGTTTTACAACTGTCTTGTCTCATTATTCACTGTTTGCGAAAAAAAAAATATTGTGGATCCACATTCAGGAAAGTGACTTTTTTTTTTCTTTTCCACGAGACATAATTTTCACATCACTTTCTCCGCGGGAAGAACGAGTAGAGTGAGAGAACCGTCGGCCATGTTGTCTCAGACACAGATGCTAAGGCAGGAGCTGATACTCAAATAAAGGCTTGATTGTACAAAAAAAATCAGTTTCTTTGTGTTGAACTAGCGCCGCTGACATCGGGGAGAGTAAAGATTATTAATTCGGGATGTCCGATATTTACTTTTTTTTTTTTGCCGATATCCCAATATTGTTCAAACACGATACCGACACAAACGACTGTATAAGTATGAGATTGATTAAATGAGCTGTCAATGCTGCCATCTAGTGGCTTTCCCTTGAATATACAGCTGTTTGTCCCCAAAATTATTTTTAGGTCACACATCATTTGGCGAAACCCTGGCATTGCAATATCGGGTTTTCATTATCGGAGTAAAAACCGATAATTCTTACAGATATTACATAGTCGATAATATTGGACATCCCTACTATAAATGAGCAGTGAACTGTGATGGTACCGTAGTAACATGTCAAGACCTTGTCGACCAATGGACATCCAGCCACAGTTTTTTTACAAAGATGTTTTATTAGTCATACTTCGAGTACTGTACTATTAGTGCTAGCGGGAGGCAGCCGCGCAGTACGTCTGGATGGAATGAAATCGGTGGAGAAATCAAGAACAGTTCCGGTTTACAAAGTCACTGCAGCGGTCCGTCGTCATACACCGGCCTCCGGTGGACATGAAGAGTCGGTGCAGGTGTGTGTCGTCCGACTGTAGTCGCGGACCTCAGTGACTGACGTTCATCTCGCTGTCCTCGTCACCGTCGGCGGAGAAGGCAGAGAAGCTGATGGGCTCCACGTCCAGAGTGCGCAAGTTGACCAGACATGCCGTCTGAGTGCTGCAGAACTCTGGGACAGTGACCAGCAGAACCTGTTGGCCGTCAGCACCTGTCACAACCAGAACCACAATCAGAGTTTCAGTCGACCTTAAGGAAAGTAAACACAGGAGGAGAAGCCCTCTGTCCATCCTCTCTGTTTGGTACATGTGTAATTCATTATGTTTTTGGAAACACATATATACACATATACATAATGTATATATATATATACACACATACATATAAACACATATACATACATACACATACATACAGTATAGACATATACACACATACATATATAGATATATACATATTTGTATATGTACATATACATACATATGTACATATACATACATATATACATACATACATATCTGCATATATATATACATATATACACATATACATATATGGATGTATGTGTATATGTACATATACATACATATATAATATACATACATACATACATATACACATACATATATACATACACACACAAACATACGTATATGTATATATACATATATGTATATATACACACACATGTATATATGTATATGTATATATACACACACACACATGTATATATACGTATATGTATATATACACACATGTACATATACATATATGTATATATATATAAAAAAACTTATGACAACATAGATCACACATGGGTGTGACTCTCAAGGCAGCACTGCCCCCTAGTGGATGTGTTGTTAGAAACGAGAGATTCTGAAACTGATTATGAACAATAAGATTCCAGTTCAACCACCAGGTGTCACACACACACACACACTGACCTTTGATGAGTTTGGAGTCAAAGGAGGGGGCGCTGCCACTGAAGTAAACATGGGGACACTCTTCCAGAATGAACGGATCTCTCTGGTAAAACGGGTAACAACCTGACGGGAACAGAAACAGAACATATACATGTCATGGTCGCGTGGAAAACACACACCGGTTTTCATTCAAGTCCTCTGACCAACCAAGGGTGTCGGGAGCCGTCGGTGCCAGGTGGCGGAGTCGCAGAGTTTCCTCCAGAATTTCAAGATGGCTGTCCATGCTGGTGTATTTCTGAATGTCAGACACATTCTGACCTGAGGTGCCAAGGAACCTGGGGGAAAAAAAAAAAGAATGAAAACCTATGCACATACATACACACACATACATATACACACATATATATATATATATAAATAAACATACATATAGACATAAAAATACATATTTAATATATTAATATATATAATTCACGTATAGAGAGATGCTAAGTTAACTCACCTCACTCCGTCGACGTCAGCCTGGTACGGGTTGGAAACCAGCTGGAGGGTGGGGTAAACTGAAGACAGAGGGAACATGCAGCGGTGCAGTGGCTGCTGCTGGGGGGTGTAGTTGGTGGGGTCATACTGACCTGGCATCACGTCCACTGGAACAGACGCCTAGTGAAAATAAATAAATAAATAAATAAATAAAAAAAAAGTAAAAAATCACTTTTAATCTGTATTAGTGCAGACAAACTGATACTGTACATTGACCGCCTGCAGAGGGCGATCATGGACACTACTACATACTCTTCTCAATGCAAAAAAAAAAAAAACAGCTTAAAATATCGTAGCCTCACGAACTTTATCTTCATTTTAAAACCATTTCTACGATTATTTGTATTATTACTATTAACGCTAATCTAACTATTAGCAATATTAGGTAGTTCGGGAGTCGACTCACGACCAGCTGAAGCAGCAGCTCGTCCAGCTGACGAACGGCCTCCACGCTGCCCGCCTGAGTCTTTTTGGTCTGATACTTGGCCTGAAAGAAGATCGCGATCATTTCCCAGAATTCATTGCTGCTGTTGTTGCTATATATAACAAAATGTTTATAATTTAGAACTTGTCGCTGCCTTGGTGGACGCGTCCTTGTCCTGGGCGCTTTGACTTAGGAGACCCCCGGCTAGCAGAACCCTGGCGATATTTGCTGTGGCGCTCTGTTCTCGTTGCTCGCCCAGCTGACCGCCGACCATGTCGATCAGCAGCTGCAGCCCCAACATGCTGTCGGCGTTTGTGCTGCCGAGACCGAGTCCCGAGGCTAGGAGGACATACCTGTAAAAAAAATAATAAATAAATAAATAAAAAATCAAAGACAACCAGCAGGTGGCGCCTCCTCACCTGTCCGAGTCCAGAGCCGGTCGTTCGGGCTGCGCCGGCAGATCGGCAGTGCAGAAGTCCTCGACGGTGAACTTCCCATCGTTCCGTTCGGCTCCGTAGACGGCTACGATACTGCCTGTATGGATGGGATTTTCATTAAATACCGCAAAATCAGCGTATCTACAGACAACGCCGGGATAACGGCGGGTTTGATGGGAAGGGGAAAACGGCCGACCTGTGATGCATCTGTCTCGGTCGATTTTGCCCTCGAGTTTGATCCTCTGCAGCTCGTCCTCCAAGATCACCTCATCAGCTTCACCGATGTATTTCGCCCGCGGCGGTTGGGGCAGCAGGTTGTGCTTAAAAAAATAAATAAATAAATAAATAAATAAATAAATAAATAAATACCAATAGTGAAACATACATCAAAATAAATATATTTTCGGCTACAAATATATTTCAATTTGTTCCCCCTACCTCCTCGCTGATCTCTTTCAGAATCGACGGCTGCAGCTCCATACGCTTGAACAACGTTCCCACAATGCAACACTGCTCTCCTGTCTGGAGATGACACAGCCTCCTGATAGCCACATCTGACCCTGGAACAGTAACCAAATAACATATTAAATCAAACTAGTCCCAAAAAACGTCCCCTAGTGGGTGAAGGCGGGAACGCGCGTCCCGGTTTTTTTTTTTTTACCCCATTTGTTTTCGGCTCTCTGTGACAACAGGGGCCTCATCTGCATCAGCCGCGCGGCGTAAATATGAGCGTACTGGCGACTGAAGCTTCGCTCCCCGACCGTGTAGCGCTCGGAGCGGGGGCAGTAGGACTGGGACGCCCTCTCGAACACCGGGCCCTGGTCCTCGGAGGAGGCAGGACGGCAGAGGAGAGAGGAACCCCGCTGCTGGGCGCTCAGCTCCGAGAACATGACGGACCTAAAGCAAACGAGACACTAGCTTATCAGTTAGCTTCAGTTTCCGGAAGCATGCTAAATATGTTGGAAGTATCGGTGTTCTTACCGCCAATAATTAGCGTTTCCGAACCGACTTTAAATACGAGTTTTTACTGATTGTTCCTTTTGCAAAATTAAAGGAAACAATTCCCGCGGAATCCCACTTCTTCTTCTTCTTCTTCTCTCATGAGCACACTTCCGGTATGTTCTAGACCACCGAGAGCGCTATACTGCACTCTACTGTCCATAAAGAAAACCTTCTAGTACTTTATTAATACATTTGAACCCTAGTATTTTTTATTATTTTTATTTATTTTTTATGTATTTTACAAAAAGTGAGATTTCCGGTAAATTAATAAAAAGGCGGGACCAAGCGTTCTCCCTTCATTGTCCGCGATATATTCGTTAAAAACAGTTCGCAAACCAACCCGTCACACGTTAATGAAACAATACGAATTTATTAAAAAAATTAATAAAGCGATAACGATATCGTTCTGTCCGTATCTGTAACGACGAATTTCACGCGATATTACACTGGTTTTTATGGCGTTTTCTCGGAAAAAAACGTAAACACATAATTCAAACGTAGTAAAAAAAACGCAAAATTGTCACAAAGGCAAATAATTCGACGAATATATATTTTATTATTTTAAATTGAGAAAAAAGTATTTTCCGCACAAAATATACGTCATAGATTTAGTTTTCAAGCGTCGCGCACTGATGAGGTCACAACACCGTCGCGGCTCTACTCCTCGCCATATTCGTTGGTCTTTGTGCGCCATCCTATATTCACTGTTTGTTGTTTTTTTTGTGTGTTTTTAGAACAATTATTTCCCCAGCGTGGAACTTTTGTCGCGGAGAATGCAGGGAAACAAAGTCCCTCAGCAGAACCACGGCCTGAACCGCCCGGGGGAGCAGAAAAAACCCGGCGGTATGAACACCAACGGCCAGCAGCCCGAGCCCGGCGAGCAGAGCAGCCGTAACGAGGCCTTAACGCTGGATATCAAGAGCTTCCGAAAACCCGGCGAGAAAACGTTCACCCAGCGCAGCAGGCTCTTCGTGGGGAACCTGCCGACCGGCGTCACCGAGGAGGAGCTGGAGAAACTCTTCGGCAAGTACGGGAAGGCGACCGAGATCTTTGTGAACAAGGAGCGGGGCTTCGGCTTCATCCGACTGGAGACCCGAATCATAGCCGAGATCGCCCGAGCCGAGCTGGACGATACCCAGTTCAGAGGCAGGCCCATCCGGGTGAGGTTTGCGACACACGGGGCCGCTTTAGCCGTGAAGAACCTGCCGGAGTTCGTGTCGAACGAGTTGCTGGAGGAGGCTTTCGCCGTTTTCGGTCAGATAGAACGAGCCGTGGTCATAGTGGACGACCGCGGGAGACCCACGGGGAAGGGTATAGTGGAGTTCACCTCGAAGCCGGCTGCAAGAAAAGCCATGGACAAGTGTAACGATGGTGCCTACCTCCTCACAGCCTTCCCCCGGCCCATCACGGTGGAACCCATGGATCAGTTGGACGAGGAGGAGGGTCTGCCGGATAAGATGGTCACCAAAAACCAACAGTACAGCAAGGAGCGGGAGCAACCCCCCCGGTTCGCCCAGCCGGGCACCTTCGAGTACGAGTACGCCATGCGCTGGAAGGCTCTGATGGAGATGGAGAAGCAGCAGTACGAAATGGTGGACCGCAACATGAAGGAGGCCCAGGAGAAGCTGGAGGCCGAGATGGAGGCGGCCAGACACGAGCACCAGGTGATGCTGATGAGGCAGGACCTGCTGAGGCGCCAGGAGGAGCTGAGGAGGATGGAGGAGCTCCACAACCAGGAGGTGCAGAAGAGGAAGCAGGCGGAGATCCGGCAGGAGGAGGAGCGCCGCCGGAGGGAGGAGGAGATGAGGCTCCGCAACGAGGAGATGATGAAGAGGCAGCAGGAGGGCTTCAGGGGCAACTTCCCTGAAAATAGGGAGCAGGAGATGAGGATGCACATGGGCAACCACGGCATGTCCATGAACAGGAACTCTCTGGGTGCCAATTCCGGCCCCGGGGGTGCTGCCGGCATGGCGGCCGAGAATCCTTCGATGATGCAAGGGTCGGGGAACAACAACATGCCCGGAGGCGGCCAGGGCGGCTTCCCCCGGGGGGTTCCTGGACCTGGGGACTATGGACCTAACAACAAACAACGTAGATTTTAAATCATTATCGTCCGTATTGTTTCCTGTTTTCATACCTACATGTTTTACAGTCGAGGTAGTGGGGGGGCGGGGTTACTCTTGAACATTAAAAACTATTGCATGTATTTTTTTAAAATTTCTTTTGTGTACTTAACCATTTTCATTTCTGTAGTAAAACCTAAAATGACAAACAAATGAGCCATGTTTTTTATAATTCGTTGTCGTTGCTAACGTGTTGACGAAGTTTTCTGGAATACATTCAACCAATTTCCCGAATAAATACTGTCTTATTTTGAGAACAGACACTTTGACTCCGTCATTAACGTTCAGAATGTCATGTCGCGGCCTTGACGGAAGGTGGTGCTAAAAATCTAAGAGGTGGAAACACGTGACGTCAGTCATAGATTTGATGACATTAAAATAAAGAGTACTCTCGAAAGAGTTTTTAAAATATCGAAAACTAAATTAAATCGTACTTCAAACGCTGTTTCAGTCATCTTGGAAGAATCAATGGGGAGGAGGAGATAAACAAGATAATAGTACGGTTATAGCATGTAAAAACGTAAACACGCCATGCTAAGCTAATAATTGTATTAAGTTTAGCAGTGGCTATCAAACAAATTGCCCAATAAGCTAACATTCATTTGAAGTAAATGTATTTGTAACCCGGACGATATTAAATGTACTCTTTACTCACAGGAGACTTATGGGAAACGGTCCAACCGGAAACGCGTTCGGTGACTCATTAATGTCCGAGGAAATGATAACGAGTCAACAATCTGTTGTTCAAACAGTGATTAGTCGGAGAAAAAAACTCTAGAAGTAGTGATGTGTCGTTTGCGAGTGATTCGTTCAAAATGAACGAATCTTTCATATGACTCGTGACTCCCGAGTCATATGAAAGATTCGTGACTCGTGACTACCGAGTCATATTAAATATTTGTTAATATTGAACTCACGAATCACTCACAAATCACTCACTGCGAACTAATCACTCATTGCGAACAAATCACTCTCTGCGAACTAATCTTTCGCTGTTAACTAATCTTTCTCCGTGAACTAATCTTTCGATGTGAACGAATCATTCTCTGTGAACTAATCTTTCGCCGCGAACTAATGTTTTGCTGTGAACTAATCACTATGAACTAATCATTCCCTGTGAACTAATCTTTCGCCTCGTTCTCGCAGATTCGTTTTATTTGTCACGTGAAAGAGCTCGGGTCTCTTTTGCTCTCATTCATCTTCACATCGTGGTGTGTTTTTATTTCTTAGCTTTTCGCATGGTTTTAATTACTTATGGCATTTTGTGTACTTTGTAGACTTTGTCAGCGGAAGCAAACCATGTTGCCTTATTTAGTGTCGGAGAACCGCAGCCTTCTTTACAACGCCCACAATAGGGCTAAAGCGCCACCTGCTGTAAAACGAATGAAATGATTAGTTCAAGATTCGTTCACGACTCGTTCATTTTACTGTTCGAGAGTCAAAGAGTCGGTCTTCCCATCACTATCTAGAAGACCTTAAACACAAGGATGAAATCGATTGGTCGATACACGTCATTACTTTGTTTTTTTGGGTTTTTTTTTTTTCAAAATGGACGACAGGACATTTTGAACCCAGCGCTAAGAGTATAGGAATGGGCTGTGACGTAGACAACGTTTGTTTTAATAAACGGACCCTAACGATACGATAACCATAACGTTACCGTCCGGTAACCGATAATGACACGAAGTTTAATGTGTGTCGAGTGCTTTATTTACGCTGAAACCGCCAGAGGGCAATGCTGGATTCTGCTATTAGCTACCGAGCTAACCTCGGCTAATAACAAACATGGCGACGGTTGAGGAGGTTGTGACGTCGTTCTGTGGGATTCACTGAACACAGAGCGGCGTGCGGACGGAGATTTCTCCTCCCTGTTCTTTTTCTGTCGTTGTCGTCACTGCCCCCACGATTTCTAGCGGCACCAAACGGTACTGTGCTAAAATATTAACTACAAGTTAAACTGGTGATGAAAAATATCAGAAATAATTAACGGAATGTGGAGCTATTTTTTTCACTTTTCCTCCAGAGATAACTGCACAGGCTGCTGATAATCAATATCTCTATGAGGGGAAACTCCCTTTTTGTCCACAATCACGGTTCAAAAAGTCATGATAACTGTCGAGGCTTACAATCAAAGCAGCGATAAAAACTATTGCAGGAAAGAGGGGAACGTCGACGTTCCCTCCGGGGGATAAAATCAGCAGGA